CCTCATGGGCTACGGCCTGACACCTCATGGGCTACGGCCTGACACCTCATGGGCTACGGCCTGACACCTCATGGGCTACGGCCTGATACCTCATGGGCTACCGCCGGGGCTCTTCCGAGAAAGGGTCCCTGAAGAGTAATTAAAGCTTAAGACGGGCGCACATAGAGCAGTGTTCAAAGACACACTCCATGCGGGCAGACATTCTACCACGGTGGCACCTCCACCCACGGCTGGGCAGACCCGAGAGCTACCACCTTGCTCTCATTCTTCCTTTTACTCCCGCTCTTCTTTTAATGAGCTGCTTCTAGATCTACAGGATGAAAACTGATTTTTTTTTTTTTAAGTCAGAGCATGAACAACCCTGTAATTACCAATTCTGATGTGCAAGGGACAGCAAACTATTGCAACACTCCACCTGGCACTCCGGCAGCCCGAACACACTAGTGAGCCTGGATGCTGTCACAGGGTCAAATTCGTCACTAGCTCTAAGACATCACTAGTCTTCTCACTTGTGGCATAAATTAACTCTCTCTCCACTACAGGCCAGTGCATAACCGAATGACTTCCTCTGTTCACGAGGTCCGTTTCATTTAGGCACTTGTCAGTACTTCGAACCCAGTACCCTGCTGAAACAGCACAAGCCTTACTATCTAACTGCCCAACCGCCTTGCCTCCCATCCTCACCTGCCCGCCCCAAGCCTCCTGAGAATGTCTCAAGTATTCGTTTCAAATATCAATTAGCACTTTTTACTTAGAAAATTCCATCACGGGATATAAGCACATTTGCAATGGACTTTCGGGCTTCTCAGAGTTCCGTGGTTGCTAGGCAGTCACTCGGACACTGGGCTGCGTGTGATGGGCAGAGGAGGAAGTGACTTCCACCTACTGCCAGGCGGTACTACTCAGGCGGCTTCTAGGGTGCAGCACCCAGCCGGCTTTATGCTCCACCACAGACCAGAGAGGCTGTTACTTCCTGCCCTCGGTGCCACGGCTCCGCCCGTTCTGCTCCCTGCTGAAGTGACCGTCAGGTGAATCTTGAGTTTCAGTTTTCCCTTCTGGATGCCCCAAAGACAATGGCCAGGCCATTCTTTGGTGACCAGGGCTGAATGTCCAGTGTGCAACCATCACGAACAGAGCGGAGCCTGGCGGCCTAGGGTTCTCACAGACTCTCACAGCACTGATCCTTGGCCTGAGCTCCTCCTTTGCTGCCATAGTCTAAGGCAGTGATTCAAAACTGCCAGCAAAATTCCCCAAAGTGAAAAAACAAAACAGAAAGGGGAACCAGGAGTGACATGGGTCTGTTTGCAGTCGAGGACTCTCAGAAGCAAAAGCATCTCATCCACCAAGACCATAATAAAATCTGTTCTGACCAAGCAAAGACCCCATCCTTCAGACAATGACATTTTATCTATCAAAACTCTTACGTTACTGTTCATTTTTCTATCTTGAAATGAAAAATCACTCCATCTAGAAGCCAGTCTTCCGTGATATTGACCTAACCCTGTCTCATTCAGTCACAGCGACATGCAATAATCTCTTCCTCTCCATTCATGGATTTTAGCAATGTCCATCCTCCAAAACACAAGGAACAAAAATAGAAGAAACAGGCTGAAGAGATGGCTCTGCAGTTAAGATCACTGGCTGCTTTTCCCGAGCATCACAGTTCAATTCCCAACACCCACATGGTTCACAGCCATCTACAGCTTCAGTTCCAGGGTATCTCGCCCTCTCCTGGCCCCCTCGGGCATCAGGCATGAAGACAACTCTGGACTCTGAACTGAGAGCACCTGTGCCAGGCCTGACAGTCAGCGACAACCGAGACTGGTTGTCACCTCTCTGTCACCGAGCAGGTCACCTCTCTCGGTTCCAGGCAATGACTTCTGGGGAGAAGGGGCGGGGTAAAGAAATAGTAATTTGATACTTTGAAAAAATAAATTGGGTCAAAATGTTGAATTAAACATCTATAACGTGAGATTAAAGTGTTCCAAAAACCCAGAATACATTTAGATGTGCCTGGCCTGGATAAGAACATCTGTGTGGCAGAACAAGCTCCTGCTATTAAATAGGCCAGAAAATAGCAGAAAACCTCATTCCACACATCCCCCAAATCCAATTCCCAAAGCTAAAACTACTTAAGTCTGAATTTTTAAAAGCCAAAGCCTTCTGAGTTCCACAGTCAATGCATAAATAATAGCTCAAAACCTTTCTTTCCAGAAAACCCCTGGGCTCATTCTCCTACAGTACATAAACCTTGATCCAGACACAAGTGTGGGTCATTTCCTCCCTCAACAATGCAGCCGTATTTTATAGACGCCATTAACTGAAAACGGGAGGGGGCATCTACATAATGGACGTACACGGGAAGTTTCAATGTCATATTATCAAATTTTAATAAACGAAGTTGGTTTTCTCTTTTTCTACTTACGATGTTCCTTGCTGGGAACTGGGATGGGTTTTGCAAGGTGAGTCATATTGTTCTGTGGGGAAAAGACACAGTCAGAGCAGCACGGGCAAACTTATAAAGCCATGAACTGGAAGTTCCCTCTTCGCTGCTTCCTCTCCCTACCCAGACACAGTACAAATTCTGTACTGGCCACTGCACTTGGCACGGTCCCCTAAGATAGCATTTATGGCCCTGTGATGGACAAAGCTTGCGTTAGCAGCAAATTCTTATCTTAAAGGGCCAGAGCTACTGTGAAGACAGGGTTTGAGTGCCACCCCAACTTGCTGAGAACTTTTGAATGGTGGCAGGTAGTTTCTGTTCTTGATGACAGTTGACTGGGTTCCTGTGGGTGCTCTGTGACAATGCTGTTTTCGTTTCCCACCTGTCCCTCCTGGAGTCAATGTCCCATAGCCTAACGTAGTCACTCAGCACCTACTTATAGACTGCCTCGCAGAAACCAATGTGTAAAAACATCTGGCTCAGTCTTCAAATGTGCCCGAGGGACATGAACCAGGTCCACAAACACCCACAACCTAGGGCAGTGTGCGGTAAGTACACATGGCAATTATGCAAATTTACTGACCAGATTCCATTAGTAACGACCCAAGAAGGCAAATTATGAATGTGTGAGATGGTTGAATCACGTAGAATTTGTGGGATTCTACCAGTGTGGGTGCAAGACGACCTTCGGGAGGAAGGTGAGGGTGGGTGTGGAGTGAAGTGACCAGCAGGAGCAGGGGTCACAGAACCCTGGATCCAGGACAGAAAGTTCCACAGCGCAGGGGCGCCTCAGAGGATCGGCCACTAAATCCTGCCCTGGTGAACCCTGAGGTCGTGTGTCAGATGGGAAGGCATCAGGGGAGTCAGAAAGAACAACTCTCCCATCTTTGCGTACTTGTAGTTTCCCACTCTCTCCTCATGGTGGCAGCAGCCCTCATATTTTAAACTGAGAATGCCGCAGGGAGAGGCATTCTCAAGGACTCCCTGAGAGGTCATCCTGACAGGGCTGTAAACTGGAAACCCTTAGGCACCATGTTGTGTGAGCTCAGACGTGAACAGCAGCAAGCTTGTGGGAAAGCCCTGCACTTCTCTCTAGACTTCCAAACCTAGGGACTAGGCCCATAAACCCAGTGTTAAAAATAATAATAATTCCAAGGCCAGTGTGGGATATATGGTATATAGAGTGAGGTCCAGAACAGCCCAGGCTACACAGAGAAACCCTGTCACCCAAACCAAAACAAAAAAAGCAAGCAAACAAATAGTGGGAATCACTTGCTGGCATTCTTTGAGAAATGCAAGCTGTCTTCATCAGTGTTTCTGTGGCTGAGATAAAACATCAGGACCCAAAGCAGCTTGGACAAGAAAGGATTTGTTTGATCTTAGCTGTTGTATCCGTGACCCAGGGAAACCAGGGCACAAGTTCACGGCAGGCACCTGGAGGCAAACATGGAGGAAGGCTGCTGCTTGGGCTTGCTCTCCCCAGGACCCCAGGACAGGTGACAACCCACAGTGAAATGGGCCTTCCCACATCAGTTAGCAATCAGGAAGATGTACCACACACAGGCTTGCCCACAACCAACCTGGCAGGGGCATCTTCACAATGAGGCTTGTACTGAGTTAACCTAAAGCTAGCTAGTACGTTACATTCTTCAATGGACGCTGCTTTTATCTCTCTCCTCTCCTTCCCCATCTAACAATCAGGTAGGTCTTTTCTCTTTCAGGCCACAAAGGCCACATTCTCATTAGGATAAAATTCCCAGAATACCAAGAGAGAAAGCGACAGCCCTCGAGATGACCTGAAGGAAGCACCCATTGAAGCAGGAGAACCAGAGTCTGGCAGCCCCAAAGCTGCATGGGCCGAGGGGGTGCTTCATCTGCTATCAACTCAACAGTGGACTGGACGGGGTAGGGGTTGTCCTTCTACAGTTAGAGAGAGCAGCCACACAGCCACGGCCCATGGGCAGAATAACACCCGGCAGATAGCAGACAGGCAGAGAGAGCAGAAGAGAAGAGGCATACACAATCCCCATCCCTAGTTGGGCTGGCACTCCGCTCTCAAGGCTACCACTGAACTGGTCCTGTAACCTCGGAGTGACTGCCCAAGTGTTGTCTCCAGACAGAGTCATCCATCTCAGCCCATTGCTTTTGCAACTTACACAATACTGTGGCATCATAATCAGGGCATGGGGTGGAGAGGCCATGTGGTTCTGACTTCTCTTTTCATTTTGGTTTTTCATGACAAGGTTTCTCTGTGCAGCCCTGGCTGTCTTGGAACTCACTCTGCAGATCAGGCTGACCTCGAACACAGAGATCTGCCTGCCTCTGCCTCCAAAGTGCTGGGATCAAAGGCACGTGCCATCATTGCTCAGTGGTTCTAACTTCTTTATAAGATGGCATTCCATCTTTCTGACAGAGAACAGCATCAGACAGCAGAGGAGGTCAAGTTTTGTGTGTGTGCTTGGAAAAAAGAAAAGGCTGAGGCTCTGGCCCAGTCAAAGTTGTCTGACAAAAAGAGTGCCAGGAAAGGCATGTTCTCAGACTGTAATCTATTCAACCCTCGTCTAGAGGGCGCTACTCGACTCTGGCTCTTCTCATCTCTTCCCTATCTTAGAAATTCAAGCAAGAAAAAAGGAGAAATAAAGGAGAAGGTGGTAATTTGATGCACACACTCTGCGGACATTTATTAAATTCCCCTGCCCCAAGCCTCACGCACACAGCACAGATCCTACTGTGGAGGTCCTCTGTCACAGACTAATATTTCATTCATTAGCCGCCATCTGCGGCCTGGCATTGTCACCTGGATCATTGTTTCTTCCCCTTAACTTATCCTGAACACTGAATGACTGCAAATAACCCCGAGGCCTTGGGAAGGCTTGGCATGCAAATAAAACCTCAGGACAGGACACCTCACTCTGAGTGGTTACTGTTGAAGAAGGCTGGATCCCGTCAGTTTCCAAGGCTATCCAGAATTTACAGCCCTTGAGAAAGGGACCCAGAAAGAATCCCTCAGATGCAGACAGAAGAACAGTGGGCTGCACTCAGCGTAACATGTCAGCAGATGTGGGGGCGCACACCTCTAATCCAGAGACAGGCAGATCTCTGAGTCCAGGCCAGCCTGGTCTACAGAGCTAGCTCCAGGACAGCCAGGGCTACACAGAGAAACCTGGCTCAAAAAAAAAAAAAAAAAAACAAAAAAAAACATACTAATTTGTATTGGTTTAGAATTTCATGAAAACCGCTTACTTCAAATGGTACCTACAGAACAGAGTTGATCTGCACTTGCTTGCTTTCCTATTCTCTTGTGGGCATTTGTTACAAAAGCATCATCATTAAATCTGTTAACATTTATTTTTTTTTAAAAAAAAAAAAGCAGCATGCTTTGTTTTATAATGCAATACTCAACTCCCGATATTCACTTACTTTGGCTTTGGGCTGCAGAACTGATGTGCAGAGGATCCTAGAAAGAGAAGGTCATCATTAGATATGTGGGACCTATACAGGGCGAACCATTCAGGTTTACACAAACGACAGCTTCATGAAACTCAGATCTGGAGAGATGAAGTAAAGGTGGACGGCATTCACCTCCGACACGTCACCGAAGACTCAGAGCACCCAACCCTCTGTCCGTCATCTGCTGCACTGAACAGACAAGATGGAAAGATCTAACTTCTGCATGCAATTGCTTTCCTCGCTTCCCAGCTTTCTACAAATTCACTTTTCCTTTGGGGTTGAGCAACTGTCTCTACATAGTGTAAGACTTTAGTTTAAAACCAATACTAATGGACCTTCTGTTCATAAAAGTAGAGTCATAAACTAGGAAGAATAACAACAGTAAATTTGGGCTTTGGCAGGTATCACTTATGAAAACAGTATCCTAGGAAGGATTGTCTATAAATATGAATGTATGTATATGGAATCAGACAGAATGCAGTGTTTGGGATACACCTAAAGGTTATTTAAAAGTCTACGCTGATGACAAAGAGATAGCTGAGGGGTCAGGAGTTCTTTCTGCTCTTCCAGAGACCAGGCTTTTGACTCTTAGCACCAACAATCTAAAACACCAGTGCCAGGAGACATCGCCCTCTTCTGGCCTCTGTGGGCACTGCAAACATGGGGTGCACAGTCACACATGCAAGCAAAACAGCAATATAGTGGAAATTAAATTACGTTTCTTAAAGTAAAAGTCAGAAAAAATAATGGCTGTGTCAAGACACCACTTAAAAACAGGTCAGTGACTCCTTTGTTATGGCAACCAGGATTAGTGTCAGCTGTTCACTTTAAAGAAAATTTAGAAACTATGAGACATGAGAGCTTTGCATGTGTACATTCATTCAGATAATTGAGCCTGGAAACCCAAACTAGCAGTAGCCAATCAACTTCAGTTAATTTCCCTCTCCTGGTTTTCCCATCTCTAGAAGAAAAATTCTCAAATGAGACACTGGATTGAGAAGTTCTGAATGTTGTAAGACCTAAAAAAAAAAACCCTATACAATCCTAAGACATTCTTACCAAAATGAGATGGAGAACAGATTATCTAAAAGTCTACTAGAGTTCTGTAAAAGCTAAATTGTGATCTTTAGTCCAGTCTTCAAGGATTCCAGTTAACAATACTCACAGCAACATCTCGGACTTCTCACTTGTGTGGACATGGGTCTGTTCTACACCCCGACCTCCACTGCTGGGGAAACTGTGTCTGTCCTACACCCCGACCTCTCACTGCTGGGGACACTGTGTCTGCCCTACACCCTGACCTCCACATCTGGGGATGCTGTGTTTGTCCTGTACCCTGATCTCACTGCTGGGGACAATGTGTCTGTCCTACACCCCAAACTCTCACATCTGGGGACGCTGTGTCTGTCCTGAACCCTGAACTCCGACTGCTGGACACACTGCACCTGCTGTGATTTATAGAATTCATTACCTTTGTAGGAAAAGGAAATCTGGAGGGCTCGGCAGTACTGGGTGTGTGTATGGCTGTCAGAGGAGGCGGCCACAAATGGGTCATTTCCTAGAAAGAGATTTGGAAAAAGAAAAAGCAAGCGTAAGTGGACATCCATCGCCAGTTGGTTCAGAACTTCAAATGCGACCAGGTGGGCAATCCACAGACAGTACGGTCTCACGGGACGGCTCATCCCGTGTAGAGCAACACCTGCACCAGGCTACAGCGAACACTGAGCCGGCAAAACTGACAAAAAGCAGATTAAGAACTGAACGGGCCCAACACTGAACATCACGGTACACGAGGGCATCAGCAGGTGCCGCCACACATGGGCAGCCCTGAGCCCTGGCAGCGGCAGGCGGAACAGGGCAGGCGGGGCGGGGAAAGACCAGGGCTCAGCACATTCTTCCACCCAGCTTCTTCACGGTGCTTCCGGGAATTATTGAGGTTCAAAGGAAGAACTTTCCTGCCTGACTTAAACAAACAAGTCATTCAGGCCCCTGCTTCACTGGGAGGGCTCTAATAGATCTGACCCTTCCCTGGCACGACTGCAGATTTCCAGAAGCAGGGAGCTTTACTTTCTCAGAGCAAAATTTTCATCCTTAGTCCCTATTTTCTTGGTTAAAAGCAAGATTTCTAGGGCTTACAAACTAAACTTTCCCGCACTATTTATGTTGCTTTGCTCAAAAACTTAAGGGGTCAGGGAGGTGGCAGTGAACGCCTTTAATCCCAGCACTCAGAAAGCAGGTAGATCTGTGAGGTCAAGGCCAGTCTAGTCTACAGAAGTAGTTCCAATACAGCCAGGGATACACAGAGAACCACCACCCCTCCCTTACACACACAGCAAAAAACAAACACAAACACTTTAAGGAGAAAGAGGTATGGCAGATTAAAAGTGTACAATCATGAAGATACATGTGTATGTGCACACACATACAAGCGCGCACACGCACACTCTCCTTGAGAGGGCTAAAAGGGTGTTAGACAAGCATTTCAAAATGAAGAAACTCATGTTTTGTTTTGTTTTGTTTTACAAATATAAAAAAATAAAAAGACCTAAATGACCCAATCAAAGCATAGAGGGACCAAAGGTTGAGCAGAGGTTACAGGCTCCTCTGTCTCCCTAGACTTCAAGTACTCACACTTGGCTACAAAGAGGCCTAGTCACATGCTCACACCTGCTTACAAAGGGCCCAGTCACCATGTTCACACTTGGCTACAAAGTGGATTTAACAACTCTCTCCCCAGAGGCAGGTGCCAGTCACAATGCACCACACTCCATCCTGTTTGAATGACATCAACTTGCATCTTAACAAATGAAGGTCGAGTGTCAACAGGCACGAGTGGTACCTCTCTGGCCCTTCCCTACTGCCCCTGTGAATGTCAGAGCATCAGGGGAGAATGAGAGACTCCGTGTGTGGTAAGCAACATGACTGATGTGACATTTGTCTGTTTGTTTGTTTGTTTCCTTGCTTACTATTTATTTTTGGGAAGGCATCCTGCTCTTAATTACTAAGCCATTTCTCTGGCCCATGGTGCAGGCTTTGATTATCAGTTACAGGCCATCTGCTTTGCCCCAACTTAATCTATGTCAGCAAGCAACTGTGACCTGAATTCTGAGCATCAGTTTTCACTAAGGAACAAGCTCTGACCACCTATTTTGTGAGCGTAATTTAAGTAAGTGCTTGGGGACATGGAGTCAAAAACAAACAAACAAACAAAAAAAAAACAGTAAGTAGAAACAGCCCATCTTTTAGGTAGGGGGCGCCTTCCTTTTTGAGGAGTGTCTGTCTGTGTAGAGACCTCCTGCCTCAGCCTCCTGGATGCTGAGATTAGCAGGTGCACCCCACATCTGCTGCTGCCCTGCAGTTAACTGAGATGGACAGCTTTCCAAGCGTTTCAATCCTGCACCCAGTCAGCTCTTTGCTCGATTGCTCAGCCAGCACACTCTGGGTGTGGAGGTCACTGAAGAGCCCATTGGTGTCCTAAAGTTTTCCAGCAATTTATTGGCCTTGTGATGACACCTGTGACCTCTGACTAACAATTACTCCTAACAGCCTAAGGCAGCACCCGGAGCAATCGGGCAACTGCCAGGCACAGAAACTCTTGCAGACCCTAAGCTCCCCATCTGAAAGAATTTCCACACTTCCCTAAACGCCTCAGGCATTAGGCAAATTGGGGCCATTCCAAAGAAGAGAAAGCTGCACAGGTCGCCTAGAGGCTCAGGCTTCACTCCACGCCAGCCCTCAGCCCTGCGGGGCCCCACAGCTGCAGTCTTCTCTTCCTCCTTGCTCATCTGAGCCCAGATCCACCTGTTTCTATAAAACACACACTTGGGTAACCTTAAGACTTCCCACCCCACTGTTAACCACACCCACACCCCTGCCCCCATCACTGCTTTGTAACTTTACCTTTCCCACCTTGAGCCCCTGGAAGCAATGATATCTAAAAACACATCTACATGGCAAATAAATGAAGAAGAAGCTGGCGATAAAGCTGCTCCCTAGGAAGCCAACACCGGAAGGTTGAGGTGATGCCTACGCATTCTCTTCCATGCACCACTAAACAGATGACTCTGGCTGCAGATCCCAGGGAGGGCCCTGCGTGCCCTGCTTCCCCTTCAACAGAAAGAATATTGACAGCCTAAACATGGCTCCAGAGAACCAGTGAGAACGGACACCAGACATCACCATCATCTATGGTTGATTGTCATTCTTAACGAACTGTCCATGGATTCCTGGCGATCTGGATAAATTGTTGACACAGATTAAGAAAGGGAACTCTGAGCAGGACATTGGATCACTACAGGAGAGCCTAGTAGAGAGTACTGGGGTCCCCTGCTAGCTCAGAGCCCTACTTCAACCATAAGGAAGTCAACATCAGAAAGGAGAGAGCTGTTTTTTCTCTGTGAAAAGGCCCATGCTTCTTCAGCTGTGGGCATTCTTCTTTAGATTACCACTTTTGACTTCCAAATGGAATAAAATGCTTGCATTTTTTGCTCAAGCATTCCCAGCATATCTAAGTGCGCTACAGTAGCACTGGGGGGGAGACGGAAGGGAGGGTGGATGTTTTCATTAGCGCCCAATATTATAATACTATCACCCCTAAAGAGAGGATACTGATTGTCTTATACTAACAAATATCAAAACCTACAAGAAAGCTGGGTGGTGGTGGTGCAGGTCTTTAATCCAAGCACTCGGGAGGCAGAGACACATGAATCTCTGTGGATTTGGAAGCCAGCCTTCCCTGGTCTACAGAGTGAGTTCTAGGACAGTTATGGCTACACAGAGAAATCCTGCCTTGAAAAACTAAAACAAAAACCTACAAGAAGCACTGCTTGTAGGGGTACACCCTCTCAGCCGACAATGTTGGTTGGGTGAATAAAGACAGATCACACACTGCTGAAGCATGATTAACAAAGTTCAGAGAGAGAAGTTGGGGTTCAACCTGAAGATCCAAAAAGCAAAGCAGCCAGTCAATGACTCTTACCTTGACCTCAGTCCAAAATGGCCGTCCTGCCTCCAGGAATCTCAGAATGAGGCTGTCTGTAAGAGCTGTCTCCTCCCATTTTATATTCCTCTCTAGGGCTGGGATTAAAGGTGTGCACCACTGGGATTAAAGGCATGCACTGCCTGGTTTCTATAGCAACTAGTGTGGCTACGAAGATTAAAGTTACGTGTATTGTGGATACTAGGATTAAATGTCTGTGTTACCATTATCTGGTCTGTAAGGCTGACCCGTGGGGCTGCTTTACTCTCAGATCTTCAGAAAAGCTTTATTTATTAAATTACAATTGAAATGCCACTACACACTGCTTCAGAGAAAATGCTAAATGGTAATTTATAACTAAGACACTATTTTTTTTGAGTTTATATATGGAGTATTTTAGTGCCCAGAGAAGTAAAGGGTGATACCAAAGCCTGAGTGAGGTAATTGGCTAAATATTCACTGTCATTGCTCATTGGCAAGAACATCAGCCTCTAGCACTGCAAAACGCAGCTCTGCAGAATGACCGAAAAGCCCCAGCTGCAGAAGGAGGAATGCTGGGTGCAAGACAGAATGATGCAAGCACTGTTCACGTATCCACCCAATACTTTCTGCAAAGATAAGTAAATAAATAAAATTTTGCCAAAAAAAACAAGAAAGAAATAACCAATGACCTTATTTACTGGCTGCAAACAACAGCATTGGTTAGTAATTTTGCAATGAAGAGGGTAGATTCAAAGTAAATTTAGGGGTAAATATATATTTTAGAGGCAAAAATAAACAGTAGAAAATAAAGTCCATAGACCTAGAACTTCAAAATAAATCAAACTTTATAATAAAAGACACAAGAATATTAAGACCAACAAAGCAAATTATAAGACAGAGTAAGTAGGAAGCCACAATTATTACATACAAGCAATAAAATAAGCTCTGAATTCCTAGGAATTCAAGCAAAAATAAGTCACATGATAGTTTACACAGTTCTCTGACTTGACAAAAGAAAGCTCGTAGTTCAAAAGAATCTGCTAGGATTTTTGTTTTGTTTTGTTTTGTTTTTAGGGAATACATCATTCTAGTGCGAGAAGACCAGAGCGAGTGTGCAATGTGTACATGAGGGTGCATTAACAAGAGAGGCAATATACATTACAGGACTCACAGTAAGCAAGGAAAAACAAAGTAACAAAAAGAAGCCAGTGAGGAAGCCTAAATATGACCATTCATCTCCCTCTCTCTCTTTCTCTTCCCTCCCCCAGCCCCCACCACCACCAACCCGTGTGCACGCGCACATATACATGCACACACAAACACACACACAACAGAAACACACAGGATCTCACCAGGTAACCTTGAAATTTACAGAGGTCACCTGTCTTTCTCTGCTGTGGAGTGCTAGGAATAAAAGCATACATTGTCATACTTGGCTCCAGTTTTTCAAGTTTCAAGATCTCATTAAAGAGGCCATGAACACCAGGTTTCACTGTATAAAAACCCACAATCAGGATACGGGGCTATTTAAACCTGGTGTCTCTATGCTACACCCACATAAGGTTTTTCTTCCATGGGACGTGAGCACCAATCCTCGGTTGCTATGGGCAAACAGAAAACTTGAGAGACTTGTACAGCTCTGCTCCAAATTCTTGCCCTTGTTAACGTCATCTTAGCAAGTAGAATCTGGTAGAGATCGAATCACACTCCACATCGGAATGGCACGGCTCACGAAAGTGAGCTCACGTGGGCATCTGTCTGTTTGCTTCAGGATGTCGTCAAATGATGCACGGTAATTATGGACTTACCTTCAGAATCTCTTCAACGCAGTGAGCTTCATTGGAGTACGTCTGCTGCAAAGGAAATGAAGGAAAAGCTCAATGTAAAAGGCTCAACAGGGGAAGTGATGAGAATGGTGGGTGCAGGTGTGGATTAGCTCAGGTAAGCTCGCTTCAGGACCCGCCCTTCACAACGGAGCACTAGTGATTGCACTGAGAAGACTGAGTCAAACCAACTTCATCACAGGGAAGAGCGAGCAGGAAGCTGGAGGCACACACGCACCCACACCAACCTAAATGTGACCGTTAGGTTGAAGCTAACCGTAGGCAATGTGTCTAAACAGAGTGGGAGCTGGGGACACTTGCCTGGCTTGCGTAAGTGCCCTGCTAAAGAAGGGAGGAGGGGAGGGAAGCGGAGGGGAGGGCTGATGAGAGAGAAGAAAAAGAGAGGAACATGTTAGTGAATGTAAGTGGGCAACAGATGTAACAGAAATGGAGGCAACAGATGAAATCAGGTAGCACAGCTGGCTAACTTACAACACCATCCAAGGACAAGCCAAGCCATGTTAAAAGAACATAGACGAGAAGGTCGTCTGAGCATGACTGGAACCACTGTAGAGCCAGAGTCCAGCCACTCAGAGCTCTTCATTGTAGTTTTCTAAAACTCATCTAATGTTTAAAGATGTCTCCCTGTGTGGTGACATACATGTGAGTAACCCCCAAAGCCAGAAGGATGTCAGAACCCCTAGAGCTTGAGTTATACAAGGTTGTAAGCTGCATGTCACAGGCGCTGGGAACTGAACTCGGGTCCTCTGGAAGACGCCTACAAGCTCATAACTGCTCAGCCATCTCTCCAGCTCCTAAAAAACTCATTTTCAATAAAAATCGAGTCTTATCTCACTTCTACCGGAACGTGACTGTACAGACGCACGCTCACACGCATATGTACACAGGAACAACATAGGGGTGAGGACACGACTGACTTGGAACAGAGACTCATGCTTGCATCCCTCCCTAACTACACAGAAAACAAGGCTCGCCGCCACAGGCCGTGCTGGAGACTCCAGCCTGTGGTCTGCACATACCTTAAGTACAAAGAAAACAAAAAGATGACATCTAAAGCAATTTTTCTGCATTAGAAACATGGTACACAGCCCACATATCTGCAGTTTTCAGTGGCTGAGCCATCATGCACACAGCAGTACCACAACGCCCCATGCCCTCCGTGTCTCTGCCGCATCACACAGGTGATGCTCCGGTAAGTTTACCACCTCACAAAGCGGCCTTCCCTTGGACTCAGCAACGATTTAAAGGTGTGTTATATTATAATATTGGTTGCTAATTCACAACTGAGGTTTATTAATCCAGCATTTGGTCTTGGCCTAATTTAGGAACAATTTAAAAAAAAAAAAAGGTACAACTTTGCACCAGACTGTAATTGGGTCTAACAGTCATGCCAAAATTCAAATGCAATGTGATCTGCCTTGGTACATGTTCAAAACAAGTAAATACCCTTATGATGATTCTGTGTGCATTTTTGGAGCTTGTTATTTCTGAGGCATGGCCAGGAAGTTCACAAATATGCAGATATGGCCACAGAAAATTAAGGAAACCCTACCCGTCCAACTACCCCATCCCCAGACATTCCACAGGTCAAATGTAACACAGTTTCAAAATAATCATCAAAAGATGTTGAAAATCTGGACCAAATGATAGTGCCACATTCTAGCATAAATGTCACATAAAAAAAAAACAACCCACGGTGTTTTTTAACCTGGGCATACACACTATAACTATATGCTGATTTCACTGATTGATTGACAGTCACTATTAGAAAGAGTCAATTGTCTCCTCCCCCAGCCTGGGGCAGGGATGAATGTGCGAATTTGTGGCTGGCAATTAGTGAAAATGGAAAAGTACGCTGTGATGAGGACCAGCAAACGGGCTTGCCCATTTGTTCCAGAACACAGAAGGAGGTGGGAAGCACTTTCCTTAGAGATAATTTCATACCTGCGGGCTGCAGATAAGTATCAGTGGTTAAGAGCACTGCCTCTTCCAAAGTTCCTGAGTTCAATTCCAAACAACCACATGGTGGCTCACAACCATCTGTAATGAGATCTCTTGAGGAAGAGACCTGGTCAGCCGTCCTCAACTTAGATCATAAAACCCAATATGGACAAGTTCAACAGAACCTCCATATACAAGCTGCCCATGCATGCATTGCCAGGCATAAATTTCATTTCATTTCATTTTTCAATTTCATGACTACAAAGTACTAAAATCGCTAAAAGAAGCCTCCCTCCCCAATCTCTTACTCTGCTTTCCCAGGACAGCATTTGCTTCCTGGTGCTCTCTCCTACCCACATCCTCACCCCCACACACCAGGAACTGCTGCAGAGAAAGTCGGTGCCCTTTCCCTTTCTCCCTGGCACTCCTCCGTTAGCTCAGAACCAATATTGAAAAGAAACGGCTGCTGAGAGGGCTCAGCGGGCAAAGGTACAAGTCTGATGATCTGACTTCAATGCCCACAAGCCACACGGTAGAGAACCAATTCCCACCAGTTTTCTTCTGACCTCCACATGTGTGCCATGCCGTATGCACACATGCACACGCCACACACACGCCTACATAATAAATGTGAAACAAGAATAAAAGAAGCCACAAGAGAGTCAGTGTAGCTCAAGTTTATCTGACATCCGACTCCTCTCTCCCTCCAAATAAGAACCAAGTCAGAGAACTGGACAGTTGATAAAGTCCAGCTTGGCACCTCAGAGTCAGCCACCGAAAGGAAACTTCCCAAAAAGGGAGGGGATCCTGAGCAAACCAGTGTGATAATCAGGCTCTTAAAATTCACAAGCACCCCCTCACCCCCCGCCGGGCTCAGGCCTCCACTGTCATTCCTGCTGAGCAGAACCAGGCAGGCTCTCCTGGTAGCTCTTGCCAAAGAATGAACAGTCAGTCCTGGCTAGGCGACTGAGACTCGATGGCAGAGTCAAAAAAAAAAAAAATCTTATGGAACACAAGATAATAATAAAAACACAACATAACCAAAACCAATGATTGATAATCAAGAACTCCCAGCTCTCACGCTGTCTCTGGACTCCGTGTCTATATTCCCCAGAGCAGGTCAGCCACCACCCCTGCACCTCTGCTGTCATTTCCCATGTGGATTCTATACAGAGACCAATGTTCCGGCAGCCTTACTTCCCCACTGGGGCACTGCCTGAACCCAACAATAGCCCAGTCGATTAAGCAGAGAATAGAGCAGCTATTATTGAAGGCATATTATACTCTGGCACTGTATTAAACTCTCAGACATACTATAATTTCCTCAAATTGATGCCACTGATTATAAAATTGATCACTAGGCTTGGCATGGAGAAATCAGTCCAGAAGATGCATCCATCAGTCCTAAGATACACATCCCTATTTCAAAAAAACTTAGATCAATTAAAGTGTCTCAGAAAATGGTGTGCACTATCCAATTTCATTCTCATATCAACCACTGTGGTAGGCGGTTTTTACAACAGGCAGACAAAATCTCTGTGACACACAAGGTTGCACAAAAGCTCTGGAAGCCGCTGAGCCAAGTTTCAAGATCCTGTCAAACTGGCTTTCCAAAGGCTGTCTGTGCCTGAGACAACACACCAGGAGACCTGGTCTCTGTTTTATGCATGACCAAGACCATTTGATAAGGTGCAGTGTTCCAGACAAAAAAAAAAAAAAAAAAAAAAAAAAAAAAAAAAAAAAAAAGCAGAATTCTGGCCGCGTTCTGATCTCTCGCCTCTGAGAACAACACTCAGTATTGACATCAAAATGAAGAGCGTTTGCAAAGGTCTTCTGAACTTTGCTTCACTAAGCTAAAAGGAACTGACCAGAAGAAACGCCTTGCCCCCAAGACCAGAGGCTCCTTCCTGCAGTGCTCCGTTCAGCGTCGTTTCAACAGAACGGCAATTTTTACAACGAAGCTGTTTTCATAAAGGCTTACCAGGAAGTGGGGGCCACAGAGACTGGACACTGAAGAGGGGTGCCAAGAGATCCCAGCTTCTCCAGGGTGGCTTTGCTCAGGACCTGCTCAGTGATCTTGGAGAGAATTCAACCTCTTAGGACTATTTCCTTCTTGTGATAAAGGAGACTATTGCCACATCTAGCCACTTTACAGGGGCAGTATGAAGTCAAGTGCACTGTCAGGAAACTTTATCAACACAGGGGATGCCCAGCGCCAACATGAATTAGCAAAGTATTCTTTAATAATGGTGACTCTTTCAAGACAAATTCCAAAAGTTTTTCATGCAAGCTTTTCTTCCAGCATACTGCCCCTTGGGTTGCTATCTGCTGCTTTCCTGCCCCGCTGGCTCCCTGAGTGTCCCTGTGTTCCTGGCTGGAACACTCTCCCCTTCCACATAACCTGCTCAACCAACCCTCAGTGGATAGGGAAGGCAGGCCCTGGGCCGCCCCTGAGACTCCACTGCAGACTGTCTCCCCCAGACTTTTCTATACTCCACTGTGCTACTACGACCTCTGCTTCTTCTAGGCTACAAGTTCCGTGACAGCAGGGGCCGCCAACCTACCCTCACCCCTGACTTGACCACACACCACCAGCTATGTAAATGTGACCATACATTTGCTGGTGTGTTTGCATTCTTCACACTTAGAATTCTGATTTCTGGGGCTAGAAACATGGCTCTGTAGTTACGAGCACGGCTGCTTTCCCAGAGGACCTATGGGACTGCCAGCACCCACATCTATCACTTCAGTTCCAGAGGGGCCCATGCCCTTCCGGCCTCCATGGCCACCAGGCATCCACGTGATACACAAACATATATGCAGGCAAAAGACCATCCACATAAAGAAAAAATGTAAAAATAACATAAATTTCAAATATGAGGGCTTTGATAACAGTAGGTGCCGTGGGCTGTTTGAACTAGAAATCCACACCTGCACTAACTGTGTAGAAACAATCCCATACAGGGAGGACAGCGAACCATCTGTCCCTGTTTCTCCATGGCTCACAAAAACAGAAACAAATAACTCACAAACATTAGACTGAAATAAAAAGGTTAAGACTCCTGTCT